TTTGATGAGCTACTATCAGTCGTCACTGAGGGATTTTTTTTCTTGTAAGCAAAGGTTTCTGTACTCTCTTTTTTTTCCTTTTTAACAGCTGTGCTCAAATCTACACGTGACTGTTATAAAACCAAACCAACATCTGTGTTATAAAAAAGTACATAGCTCTAATTGAGCCGAACAGCTTTGTGTTGATACCTGCAGCCTTCTTCTTGAATGCAGCTGGTTACTTTGGTTGAGCCTCTTCGGTTTTTCGCTGAGTTTTTCAAACTCACCACACTAGCATTCTGTGGTTCTAACAAATGTAACTTATATATTTTTAATGGTAATTTGAAGCTTATTTTATGCTAGGCTGCCACTCAATCACACAAACTGTAAAAAAATGGGTATTTAGAGGTCATGTAGTTTGTAAAGTGCCTGGTGATCTGACCATGGGGCATGGAAGGCTGGCACTGTCCACGCCACTGTGACCCACACAAATATGCTGTCGCTTTTGTGAATTAATTATGCAGCATATGCTTGTGTTTCTGTACATTTCACTCTGTTTGTGTGTTGGTATGATTTATAACATGTTCTTCAAGTTTGGTGTTTCAAATCGATGTGTATCACTTTGGACAGTAGAGGGCAGCAGAATGTCTGCCATGGTTCTGCCTTGTTGACATGGTTCATCATAAGATGGTCATTCTGGGAAGACTGACCAGGCTTAGTGTCGATGCATTACTGAGCTGTTAAAATGCATAATTGAACATTGAAGTTTACCTTATCTTATTTAAGGCTAGATTTATGATGTGCAATATCTCTTGATGAATGCTCTTTAATCCAGTTAGGGAGTTCCCAAAAAGCTGATCAGTGGGAGAAACGCTGGGAAGGCACCTAAAGAATGCTTCAGGCGACCCAGGAGAGATCAACTGCTGCCTAAGCAAAAAATCTTAGTGATCCCTTATGTGTCAGGAGTATAGGAACAGCTGAGACGCATTTTCTCTAAACACCGCGTCTCTGTGGCTTTTAAACCCCAAAACATGCGGCGCCAAAAACTGGTCCATCCCAAGGATCGGTTCTCCTGACACAAACAGAATAATGTAGTGTACGCTGTTAAGTAGCAGGAGGATTGCTGTGAATTATACATCAGGGAAACCAAACAACCTCTGCTCAAGGGGATGGCACAACACAGTAGAGCTACCTCACCAGGTCAGGACTCTGCAGTCTATTTACACCTACAGGCCAGTGGACACTCTTTCAATGATGAGGATGTACATATCCTGGACAGGGAGGAACGCTGGTTTGATTGAGGATTCAAGGAGTCCATGTACATGAAAAGGGAAAGACCATCTCTGAATAGAAGAGGGGGCCTAAGGGTACATCTTTCACCATCTTATAATTGTGTGATTGCAGCCATTCCCCAACTCCGTGAATGGTATTCATGGTCTTGGATCAATGGTCTTTGATTGGTGGTTTTTGATCAATCGACATGACAATTTCCATATTAATGGTGAAGGAACTGATCTCACAGCCCATTGTTTGTCAGTGGTGCTAATTATAGTCATAGCAAACACTTGCGCTCCCATACAGTGTAAATTCTGCAGTTCATAAACAGTTCTGATTGCAGTTCTTGTGCACTTGGTTAATCTCTTTATGTGCATTATGTTTCTAAACAGTGCTAAGCTAGTCCGAGGTAATTTGTAAAAACAAGTGCAAGGGTTTTACTAAAACTTTGATGATTTATTCACAGTATTGAGATCAAAATCTTTATTGTTTATATATATTCTAGTCAGGTACATTTTAAAAAATATTCAACTACTTTCCAACTTTGAAACTTCGTCTCTGGGAATTTTAGCTTTTAACATGTTTATATTTCAGCTCATTCAACTCTTTTTTTTTCACCAAACATTCAGCAATTTTAAAATAAATTCAGCTCAAATGTTTTGAAGGTCAGCTTTGACCTTGGAAACCTGACCTTTCCAAAATAAGTCCATGTGCTTATTATTTATTTATTTTTATTGATACTGCTGATTGATGGTGAGCAAAACAAGAAAGATTTGAGATCTAGTCAAGAAAAAAACAGCTAAATTCGGTCAGTGTGGGTCACCAGGAACTGTCAAATTAATAGAAATTTTGTCTGAAAGACTGCCATGCTTATTTTTCCTATCAGTACAACCTGAATCATCTGCTGAGTTAGAGTTTCTGCCTCTGGCAGCTACAAAAGGGACACAGTTACAAACAAAACAATCAGCGTTAAACTAGTTTATCAAGCGTAGTCCAGAAAATGTTTCCTTCCTGAACTGTTTACAGCCTTTAATCATTTAAACAACAACGTCTTGCATGCATCCTTCTTATTATTGGTGTTTTCTTTGCTCATTTTCCAAACAATCCTTGTAAAGTGTCCCACTGTAAATACTGTTTAACACATCAACAGTGAAATCATTTCAAATGAAATGGAGTTAGAGATGTAGTCACAGGTTTAAAATAGAAAAGACTCTGAATCACACATGCTGTGATTGCAGTCAGTCCTCTCACAATGTAAGCCTCGAGGCGCTCACATGTTTTCCTGGTGGACTTTTGCACTTGTGACCACTGCTGTAGACCTTTCGAGTGTAGCTGCTTCTCACTGATCCCTTCTTTGCTCTCGCACTGCTGGCTGTTCTTTCTGACGTCATCTTTACTGCTGCTTTCTCCTCTGTCTCCACTTGCTTGAGGTTGTGGAGGTTCTCACAGTCACATTGGTCATATAGCTCCAATTTCTTCTGATTTGAGCAAAACCACTTCCCAGAGCTATAGAGAAGCTCCACAATGCTGGAAAATGCTGATATCACCCCTACAGCAAAGTAGAAGAGGAGGAAGACTGTTTTTTCTGCAGGTCGGGAGGTGAAGCAGTCCACCGTGTAGGGGCAGGGAAATCGGTCACATGGGAACTGGGCCTCCACCTTGAAGCCGTAGAGATACCACTGGACAAATAAGAAGCCGATTTCTGCCACTATGCGGGAGATCAGAGTGATAATGTAGAGTGTCCTTAAAGCTTTTTCTTCTCTGTTCTCCCTGCTGCTCCTTTTCTTCGATGGAGAGGGGTTGGCACTCTTGTTATGCTGGTGTGTGGCGTACACGAGGTAAAGCAGAGAAGGTGTAGCGATGAGGACTATATGAAACACCCAGAATCTGTACTGGGAGATGGGGAAAGCCAAGTCATAACACACCTGCTTACATCCTGGCTGGAGGGTGTTACAGGTAAATTCCTCCTGCTCGTCCTCAAACATGTCACTGGCTACAGTTCCCAGGATCACTATCCTAAATACCAGCATGAGGACGAGCCAGAAACGACCCAGCATCGGCGACTCGGTCTGGAGGTCTTTAAAGAATCCCCCGATGAAGTCCCACTCACCCATGGCTGCAGCTCTGTCAGGCCTTTTGGAAGTCTGGAGGCTTGTTCACCTGTTTGTCTCAGAGCAAAGGCTGCCTTTGTTTTAAAAATGAAACTAGAATTCTTGCTATTATAATCTCCAATATATGACTCACAGTGAAACTGTACCCAATAAAAGTGATCAAAGGTAGCGTCAAGGTGTATCCATCCTAAGTGTTGATTGAGTTCATACTCCAGTGGCCTTAAACCAAAAAGAAAACATTATATGAGAACCTGCAAAGACTATCAACAATATCATTAAAGACATAAAACAATAACAGCAGCCTACAAGCCTTTAAGAAACTCTTACCCACTAACATTATAGAGCCAACCGCTCCAAATTTCTTTCTATTTTAGGATATATACGTGGTTTTGACTCTTTGAAATTAACTCTGGTGGAAATATACTGACTCGGCTGTGTTCCAGAGATGACAGTGATGGCAAGATCAAATGGGTTGAACATTGATTTGTCTTTCAGTTGTACCAACTTGTGGTTATATGAAATTCTCTACTTTGTTTTATTTTTCCCATCCACTGTGTTTGGTAGCATCTTTGTGTCTGGTATGTGCTTTTACTTCCTCTATCTCATCGTCATTGATTCATTTCAGCTGTCTTGTACCGCAGTTTTCCCCATGTCTCTGTTTACATCAGTGTGTCTGTTTAAACCCTCAGCCTGTTTGTGCGTTTTTGTCACGTTGTGCTATTTGTCCATAGTTTTTGTTTTTCTACTCCACTGTCTGGGCTATTAGTTGCCTCCTGGACTTGTGCCTCACTGAAACAAAGGTTTGTTTTAGTTTATTCATTCTGTCATTTGGGTCTAATGTCACACTGCCTGTCACTGTCACATTGCATGGGATTCACAAAGTTTATCTCATCTTATAATAGAAAATATCACTGAGAGTTGAACTGTAAAAATTGACCTTGGTGCCAGCAGTTGTCTTGGCTTCAAGGCGTGATATGAGTTTATCTGAGAAGTTATCAGCGTCGTCACTGAGCTCCTTTTTCTTTCTGGAGCTTTGCTTTCACTTTCGAAGTCATTGGTGTCCAATGAAGAGACCCTCTCGGTGCAAGGAGCACTGGTTGCAGTGATAAAAAAAAAAACCCACGGCAAATATAAATGTGCTATGATTTCTTTTTATTTCTTTTCTTTTCTTTTTTTTATATTTCAAAAGAACAATCATTCTGAAATCCATTAGCAGAGACAGCAGTCTGGTTCATCAGCAGATTCACCTTTAGTTTCATGTTCACTCTGCACTCTGTGGGCACATCTACTTCCTCTATCTCCATTTAACACTCAGACAGGCCATCAACCCTCATCATCTGACTCCAGGATTTTCTTGGCTTTCTTGGTAACGGGCATGAACCAAAGAGCGGTGCTGTTTTTGATGCTGCTTTGCATAAGAATGGGTTTCTTTGTGAAACGTTAACAAACTTGTACAGTTAAAGTGCAAATCTTCACAACTTATGTATGATTATCAACATTTTTAAGGGCTCTGATATGCTGTAATATCCATGTCAGACTAAGTTTTCCACAAGACAGGTGTACACCGGTTCAAAATAAATATCTACTATTGTAAAATAAATATATAGATAGAGATAGAGATGGATGGATGGATGGAGAAATCTAAGTTGTACACAAGCAAAATATAATTCTGCCAAAAATATTTATTTATTACAAAAAACAACACGTGGCTGGGTTATTCATAGACTTGAGAAAGGCATTTGACACTACAGATCACAATATATTAATAAGAAAACTGGAACATTATGGTGTCAGAGGGGTAGTTTTAAATTGGGTTCTGAGTTATTTAAGTGACAGGAAGCAGTTTGTGAAATTAAATGGCTGTTGCTCCTTATGTATGGACATTGCTTGTGGTGTACCCCAAGGGTCAGTTTTGGGCCCAAAATTCTTCAACTTACACATCAATGACATTTGTAAAGTGTCCAGAGAATTAAAAATGGTACTCTTTGCAAACATTTTCTGCTCTGGTGATGATCTGCAGCATTTACTGGATGAGATGACTAATGAAATAATTAAAGTAACATTCTGGCTTAAAAACAACAAATGATCATTAAATTTGAATAAAACTAAAATTATGTTTTTTGGAAATAGTAGTTTAAATACAAATGCTAAGATTCAAATAAATTATAATAATTTCTAGGGGTAATAATACATGGAAAACTTAACTGGAGAGCTCACGTAAGATGTATTCATTCCAAAGAATCAAGCATTGGAATCCTAAACAAGGGAAAGCAGGTATTAGACGGGACATCACTTCATATTATCTACTGTTCACTGGTTTCACCTTACTTAAGCTATTGTGCAGAGTACAGTACGTTACATTACATAAAAGTACATTACATTCACTTTTTACTCTTCAAATAAAAGAAGAAAACAAACAGTTTGAATCATCCACAGTGCAGGTTATAGGGATCATACAAACTCACTTTTCTTGCAGTCTGAAATATTGAAATTTGCTGATCTAGTAAAATTCCAAACAGCACAAATTCTATTCAAAGCAAAAAATAAGGAACCGCCAGGTAATACTGAGAGTATGTTTTTTTTAAAACAAGGAATTTATAATTTAAGGGGTTTTTGTAACTTCAAAATTGTGAAGGTGCGTACTACAAGAAAAAGCTTTTGTGTTTCTGTGCATAGAGTGAAGCTGTGGAACAGTTTGAATATGGAGTGGAAGCAACATCCAAACATAAAGCAGCTCAAAGTTATAAAGATATATGATTTTCTTGAATTATAAAGAAAGGAAAAATGTTGAAATTCAGCGAATGTCTCTATTTCGAAAATTTCATCATGTGATGTATATATTATCAGAAGTCTACAGATTATATCAGTAAGGAAGCTGACTATATAATTGACTGATAGCTTATGGCAAAGGGGTGGGATTAAAGAAGTGTGTACTTCTTCCCACTCCTTTTCGATGTGTAACTGAATCGGAACAGATGAAGCAATATTGAAATAAATTAACTTTATTTGTATAGTATTTTTTTCTCTTCTTTTCTTTGCTAAATGTACCCTTATGTTGTTTACATGATCGAAATAAATTAACAAACAAACAAATAAACAACACACGATTGCTGTCGTTTGTTGTGGCTAAAAATCTTGTCTGCCGAAGCCTTGACTGAATTCAATGCAGCCCATTTATGCAGAACAGTAATCGCTTCCTTCTTTTAGTTGTTCTTGACACACACATGCACAATGTTAATATATCTGATCAGAAGCATGGAGGAGATTCCAGGAGCCAGTTACTTAGTCTAGCAGAGGTGAGGGGTCGTAGAAGGTCTTTAATCCACCAGCAGGACTAGTATCTACTTGTTCGTGCAAGGAGGAGCACGATAAACACTGACATTTGACACGTGGGTCGTTTTGTTTCAGTCCATCTGATTCTGCCAGGTTGCACCTCAGTTTGTCCAGGAGCTCATTGATGCCCTGAAGTAGTCCTTGTAGTCTGTGATGAGAGAAACCTTCTTTGTGCCATTTAGCATCGGCTCCAGCACACTCTCCTTTTAGGTCTGGACCAGAAAGTCAATAAAGAGTTCGGCAAAGTGGACTTAAAAGTGGTGTTAAAAGCACAATATATAAGTATATTTATTTGAGTTAATTTAATAAAGCCTAGAACACTCAGGAAGCCATTCTCTCTCTTCACCGTAGGCAGAGGGTCCTCGCCCACTGGTAGTGTAGCATGCAAACGAAGCTACACTGAGTGGTGCAACAGCCTGGGGTCAACTGAAGGAACTCCTCAGCCTTAAGAAGCCAACAAGCAATCAGCAAAGTCAACACAGTAATTAGCCACAGTCTCAAAATGTGTGGGCAGGTAAGGTTGAGGCTTGACTTCTGAAACACAAAAACCAAATGCCAACATTCGCACAAACAAAGGAGAGAGAGAAAGCAGAAGAGAAAGAAAAAGATAGAAGAGCAAGTCGAACCAGTAGGACCAAGGCGTGGCTCTCCAAGAAATATAAAAATAGTACTCATTTCAAGGTTTCTTGGGTTTTATTTTCCTCTCGGTATGGCCTGAATCCCCTGCTGGGTTAGAGGTTCTATGTTTGATGAATCTGACAGCTACAAAAGGGCAACACTGACTAAAAACCAATCACCTGTAAGGAAGTTTGTCAAGTGTTTTCCAGGAAATGTTTCTGTCGCAAAATGCTTGCGGACTTTCGTCATTCGGCAGAACTAACAAGTCAATGATGTCTCTCATGCGTCCTTCTTATCGTCTGTGCTCGTTTTGTCATTTTCCCATAAGATTCTTCATGATGTCGCCAATACACATGAAGAGGAAAACATGAAGAGGGAATTAGAAATGTAGTCACAAATTTATGATAGAAAAAGGAGGATGCTGTGATTGCAGCATATGTGTCCTCTCACAATGTAAGCCTCGAGGCGCTCACATATTTTCCTCTTGGATTCTTGTACTTGTGACTGATGCTGGAGCTCTGTCGACTGGAGTTGCTTCTCACTGATCCCTTCTTCATTCTCACACTGCTGGCCGTGCTCACTGACATCGTCTCTCCTCCCGATTTCTCCTCTGTCTCCTCTTGCTTGTGGTTGCGGAGATTCTCGCAGTCACAGTGGTAGATTCTGTCCTCCTGGTCTGAGCAAAACCACTTACAAGAGACGTAGAGAAACTCGACAATGCTGGAAAATGCTGATACTACCCCTACAGCAAAGTAGAAGAGGAGGAAGATTGTTTTCTCTGCAGACCGGGAAGTGAAGCACTCCACTGTTAGGGGGCAGGGAGAACGACTACATGGGAAATGGGCCTTCACCTCAAAGCCGTAGAGACGCCACTGGACAAATAAGAAGCCGATTTCTGCCAGTATGCGGAAGATCACAGTGATAATGTAGAGCGCCCTGAAAGTTTTTCCTTCTCTGTTCTTCCTGCTGCTCCTTTTCCTCGACGAGGAGCTGTTGGCCCTCTTGTGATCTTGATGTGTTACATACACGAAGTAAAGCAGAGAAGGTGTAGCGATGAGGATCAAATGAAACACCCAAAATCTGTACTGGGAGATGGGGAAAGCCTCATCGTAACACACCTGCTTACATCCTGGCTGGAGGGTGTTACAGGTAAATTCCTCCTGCTCGTCCTCAAACATTTCACTGGCCACAGTTCCCAGGATTAGTATCCTAAACACCAAAACGAGGACGAGCCAGAAACGACCCAGCATCGGTAAATGGGTCTGGAAGTCATTAAATAATCCACCGATGAAGCCCCACTCACCCATGACTGCAGCTCTGTCAGGTCTGGCTTCTTGGAAGTCTGGAGGCTTGTTCACCTGTTCGTCTCAGAGCAAATGCTGCCTTTGACTTTAAAATGAAACTAGAATTCTTGTTATTGTAATCTCCAATTAGTGACTCACGGTTTAACTGAACCCATCAAACCTGATTAAATGTTGCTTCAAGGTCTATCCACCTTAGTTGCTCAGCTCAGTGGGCTGTCTTAGTGGGCTGAAACCAAAAATGACGCAAAGAACCCGCAAAGAGAGTACATAAAGGACAACACTTCAGGAAAAAAACCCTGTAGCAACAGCCTGTAATATATCCTTTCAGTTCTTTTCGCCTTCAGTTAGCATAAAATACAACCAGCTAACATTGTAGAGTACAGTAACCAACCTCAAGACTGATCCAAGGTTCCATTTCATACATTTGAACTTTGCTAATGGACAGGTTGAAACCTAACTCCTACATTTCAGAGATGCCAGAGATGCCAAGATAAAATAG